CTGTATGTCTATATATATATATATATATATATATATATATATATATATATATATATATATATATATATATATATATATATATATATATTCCCCATGGGGAAACAAGCTTATAAATCATACAGAATGTGTTTTTTTGAGCTTTCTGTGAGGGGTAGGTCTAGGTGTAGGATTGGTGTAGGGCGATAAATTATACTGTTTGTACAGTATATAAACCATTACGCCTATTTCTTCACACGACGTAAAAGAGAAAAAAATTTATTTAGATTATAAACTGTTACATAGCTCTCTGAGCTTGATTCACTTGAGAGGCCAAATATTTTTGTATAATGACTGTTAACTGCATTTCACTGAGCTGTCATTGAATATGTGATATGGTTTCACAACCATATCACATATTCACGTAGGTACTTTTTTAAAGTACATAATTTAGCTGTTTATGATCTAATGGGGATACTAGATGTGAACATTTTAGAGAGCACAGATTGCTTATCTCACAACACAAGCCAGTGATAAACTGTCATCAGACAATTAATGAGCCATTTTATTTTTATTTTTTATGTCTTGTAGTGTGGCATTGTTTCATGTAGCATCATGATCCTGGAGTAACATTTCGTTTTACTCTGTACAAGCTGTATGTGATTGAAATGACAACTAAGCCGCTCTGACACTGTGTGTGTGTGTGTTGTCAGGTGGGCTAAGAAGCTGGATGCTTTAACAGCCACAGCCACGCAGGACCCAGAGGGGTTTTTGGGTCACCCTGTCAACGCCTTTAAACTCATGAAGAGACTAAACACAGAGTGGGGTGAAGTGGAAGACCTTGTGCTCAAGGACATGTCTGACGGTTAGTATCACTGTAATTCAACTCATTAACGTCTTTTCATTCAGCATTTACAACTGACAACTTGTTATGAAATATTTATCTTAAAATATCAATATTAGGTGACACAACTGGAAAACTCAGAAATACTGAAAATATTACAACTTGCTAACAACACCAAGCAACATGTTAAAAACATTCAAGCAAAGCCTTGAAACATTCTTTACTGTTCTTAATGTTCTAACATTTTCTGATTTCTGATTTTCTGGGTGGAGTGGTGTGGCGGTGGTTCTGATAATGGACTCTGAATTACTTGATGTAGTTTCTAGGTGGTCTACAGTGGTTTAATATGGCCTGTTTTGTGTTTTTATTGGCCTTTCTTTGACATTTTTTTTCAAAGCTTTTAAACTACTTAAAAATTTCAGACAAGGCTTTGTCAAGCCAACATTACAGTCATTGCTTTGTATCTTTTGGTGCTTGACAATTCAGGTTACTGTAAATTTTTGTTGTATGGAAAAGTCCAAAAAGTTTGAAATGATACAAGACAAACATCATGACAAATTTTTCATATTTCTCAGTACTTAGGTCACTTAAAAAAAAAGCCAAATTCAAGTTCAACACATAACAATACAGAAGTTTCCACATTTCTTCCATAATACCACATTAAAATATATTCCAAATTTTACAAAATGAGATGCTGTCAAAATGATGAGTTGTCACCTACACATGTTGGTCTTTCAATTTCATTACCATCAATACAAAAGGGGGAAATAATTTTGTACTCTAATGTAAACACGAACCATGTAACATACTGCAGTGATTGTAAACTGTAAATGTTTTTTTTTCTTATGAAAAGATAACCAAATTTTCTTCTAGGCTTTATCTCAAACCTGACCATTCAGCGTCAGTATTTCCCTAATGATGAAGACCAGACTGGTGCAGCCAAAGCTCTTCTCCGACTGCAGGACACCTATCAACTGGACACACAGACCATCTCCTCTGGAGACCTGCCTGGTGAGTGTGACCTTGCCTCTGTCCAAACATACTTCAGATATACCTTTTCTGCATTTGTATGACATCTCATTGCATCTTATAGGTGTTACTACAAGCTCGCCGTTTAAAAGCACCCTGACGGTAGAGGATTGTTTTGAGCTGGGAAAAGTAGCTTACTCTGAAGCAGACTACTACCACACAGAGTTATGGATGGCCCAGGCACTCAAGCAACTGGATGAAGGAGAAGAAACCAGTGTTGACATTGTTACCGTGCTGGACTACCTCAGCTACTCAGTCTACCAGCAGGGGGAGCTGGAGAGAGCTCTGGAACAAACCAAGAGACTGCTGAGTGTGGGTTAGTCTGCTCTATAAAACTATAATATAATATTTACACTAAAGCTGAACTCCATATCGCGTCTTAGTGCGATTGTCAAATTGTGGAGGCTGTGATTTAATTAAATAAATATATGCTTCACTGGTTTCAAGTGTGGCATTTACACACCGGCAGTGCATATTTTTATTTGACAGCAAGCTGTGTAAACCCAAGTATGAACACCCTCATTTTTTCCCCAATCTTGCAGTCCTAAAAGGATTTCACAAACACACACACACACACAATCTACAGAGTCAAAATGTAAGTTTCTGTATTTTTCTATACTGACACACTCCTCAAAAAAATCATCGCACTAATTCTATAATGTTTCATTCTAAATTTATCTATTCAAATAATCTGGTGAAAATTCCTGTATTTTTTCATATTGCAATATATATCACAGAAAAATGAATTACTGCAATGTCAGTTTTTTTTCCAGTGCACATGAATTGTGCATTTTCACATGCCATTGAAGAAAGGAGTCCAGAATATCGTATCATGACCTGTGAAATTGACCTGTGAATGTCAAATTAACATTTGAGACATTCAGCAGTTCTCCAAACTATTGCAAAATGTTTAACACGTTTATCTCTGCTGTAAAGATCCTGAGCACCAGCGAGCACTTGGGAACCTAAAGTATTTTGACTACCAGCTAGCCAAACAGAAGAAGGATGAGAAGGAGCCGAGTGCCAAGGAAGAGAGCAAGAAAGAACAGGAAAGGACGGTTGGGAAAGGGGAATATTTCCCTGAAAAGAGGAAATATGAGCAGCTATGTAGAGGACAAGGAGTCAGAATGGTGAATAATAAAATACTGTTAAATACTGCAGTTATATAAATATTCACTGGAATGTCATATTAAGCACGAAATGCTGATGCATTAGCTGATGTGAGTCATTTTTAATATATCAGTGCAGCTCTATATCCACAGCCACCTAATTTAGCCGTTTCTGCTGTTTTTTTACTTTGCATTGATGTAACTTGACTTATTTATAAAGTAGTGATTTCTGTATATGAGGTAATTAATTATTAAAGACAGGACTTTTAATTATTTATGCACACCCATGGTGGTAATACGGCCATAACACAAAGCTCTATTTTTATCCATTCAGTCCATCAAAGCTGGCATACTGCCCACAAAAGCCATAAAAACTCAAATGCTACAATTAGAGAGGATGACACACAGCTTTAGGGAGTCAGTGAATCAGTATTTTCATGACAGTGCCTAGCTGCTTCATCACATTGAAACTAACTAGTAATGCTGTGAAAGAACATGAAATACCAACCATTTATTTGTCTTGCACAAGAATAAATTAAATAGCTGATATATATATATAATCTCACCCTTACAGACCCCTCGCAGACAGAGCCGTTTGTTCTGCCGTTACTATGACAATAACAGACATCCTATTTACATGATCGGCCCGGTGAAACAAGAGGATGAATGGGACCGTCCACGTATCATCCGTTACCATGATATTATAACAGAAAAAGAAATGGAGAAGGTCAAGGAGTTGGCCAAACCAAGGGTGAGTTCAACATTATACACATTATATATTTATATATATGTGTGTGTGTGTGTGTGTGTGTATATATATATATATATATATAAATGGCCAAACTTCTAGTTAATTGGTTTGGTTAGTCCAGTAATTTCAGTGGATTTTTCGAAATTGAGATTTATACATCATCTGAAAGCTGAATAAATAAGCTTTCCATTTATGCATGGTTTGCTAGGATAGGACAATATTTAGGATACAACTATTTGAAAATCTGGAATCTGAGGGTGCAAATAAATCAAAATATTGAGAAAATCGCCTTTAAAGTTGTCCAAATGAAGTTCTTAGCCATGCATATTACTAATCAAGAAATAAGTTTTAATATATTTACAGTAGGACATTTACAAAAATATCTTCATGGAACATTATCTTTACTTAATATCATAATGATTTTTGGCATAAAAGAAAAATCTATAATTTTGACCCATCCAATGTATTTTTGGCTATTGCTACAAATATACCCCAGCGACTTAAGACTGTTTTTGTGGTCCAGGGTCACATATGTGAAAGTACAACCTGCGCTGATAAATTTGTCTTCACGTGGCTACTTTAAACAGCTGCATTAAGCCTTTAGCCCAAAAGAGTGCGCATTTAGAAACATAATGATAAATTCTCATATGTTCACGCCTCATTTCTTTACAGAGGATGATTCTATATTATATTAATGTTCCACTAAATTATGCAATCTGAAGAGTTTTGTGCACTCTCTCCCATCTCACTGCCATCACACATAGTGGGGCAGAAATATCATCAAAATTATTTATAAAAAAATAAAAACAGCCATTTAATGAGCTTCTGTTTTTATAACATGCCTATGATATAGGAGTTAGCCTATCACACAAACAAGAGTCCTGTTTTTCCGAATATCTGCATGATCGCAAATGTAAAATAAACAATTTACTGAGTAACTTTCAGACACAAAATTCAATTTTGCTCCAAACCGCTGCGTGACCGAGCAACTCACTGATTAAGAGTTACTTGCTTCCACCTACTGGAAGTTGTAGTTTCATATTTAAAAAAGTAGCTTATTATTTCATTTTGCAATAATTTAATCAGGGCTTAAAGTTCTCTGGCACAGTGCCGGATCTCCAGCGTGCTGCGTTTGGCTGCGGAAAAAAATAATCCTACATTAAAAAAAAAAAATTCACTTTTGAGTCCATGAGTTCGCCTACCAATGGTATGAGAGGAGCACAGTTTTCACTCTCTACCAAACTAACATTACTAGCCAATCAGAATTTTTTGCTCTTATAAACATGAGACGCGCATAATAGTATCCAATTGCAGAGATATGTATCCATGCAGAGCCCTGATGAATGGAGAACCGCGACACGTTGAAAAAGCTGCGAGGCGCAATGTTCAGAGATGTCCATCTAGTGCGTATTTACATAGAAAACTAATTAAAAAGCAGCGGAGCTTTGTAAACAGCTCAGAGTAATCATGTAATCTCCATATGAACGATATGAATGCCAGAACAAATTTACCGGGATTTTTTAAAAGGTCCTGTTCACACATGATCTCTTAATGGTAATTTACCAGTAAAACCATAAAACCATGTAATTACTTGGTTTTGATACTTTATTTGAGCCAATTATTATTGCCTCATCGTTAGTTTAAATATAAATAGTCATACTAAAGCCTGGTTTTCACTTAGGTCTATTTGTTACTAAAAAAATATCATTACTCAATAGTCAAAATAATCAGTAGATTACTTGATTACCAAAATAATCATTAGTTACAGCCCTAGATTAGTTACAATATTTCAAAATACAACTGCATTGTTTTACTTTTTGTAATTAAAAGACAAATATTTTGTCATTGAAAATGTCTTAAAAATAGTATTAAAAAATTGTCTCGTTCTAGTGAACCAAGTATCTCGTGAGCTAAGTGTATTGTTACACCCCTAGTGTCGATAAACAGTGATATAGCTCATCATTTTCCAAGTGTATGATATAGCTTTCATTCTTCAGGTCAACCATATATTCATGAAAAAACAAAAAACTGTTTGAATAAGGAAAGCAATAACTTTGCCATAGTATCTTTTCAAATGTTAAAGTTGCCACAGTCATTGCATGCTTTGCATGTGCTGCCCCAATGTAATCAAGGGCTCATATAAAGTTAGAAGTTCTTTAGAAAACAGAAAGAGCGTGTTGGTCTGTAGTCGGTCATTGAGACTACAGCTGCTGTGTAACTTGTGTACTCTTGGCCGGTTGGCTCAACAGCTGCGCCGAGCCACCATCTCCAACCCCGTTACTGGTGTTCTAGAGACTGCCCAGTATCGCATCAGTAAAAGGTAAGGCTCCATTTGGTCTGTAGCACTTCCAACCCACCATTTCCCTCTGCTGCATGCTGGAAAAGCAACAAGAGCTCAGGCAAAAGGGATTTATATCACATGCATATTATGACCAAAGTCAAACGTTTGGAATAATCCTATTTTTTTTAATGTTTTTGAAAGACGTCTCTTATGCTTACCTGCATTCATTTGATTACAAATACAGTAAAACAGTAATACTGTAAAATAATATTGCAAATTAAAAGAACTGTTTTCTATTTGAATACATTTTAAAATGTATTCCTCTGATGCCAAAGCTGAATTTTTAGCAGCCATTATTCCAGTCTACAGTGTCACATGAGCTTTCTAATATACTGATTTGGTTTCCATAAAAATATTAAGCAGCAAAAACTGTTTTTAAACATTGATAATAATAATAATAATAAATGTTTCTGAGCATCAAATCCGCATATAAGAATGATTTCTGAAGGTTCATGTGTCACTGAAGACTAGACCATCGCAAGACTAAATTACTTTTAAAAATGTATTAAAACAGAAAACGGTTCTTTTATATTGTTTATATTACAGTTTTTACTGTATTTTTGCAGAACTTTTATTATTTATTATTCCAAACTTTTGACTGGTAGTTTACACACACACACACACACATGTTGGTATTGGTTGTTTACGGGGACTCTCCATACGCGTAATTGTTTTTATACTGTACAAAATGTATTTTCTATCGCCCTACACCAGGGTAGGCAAGTTCGGTCCTAGAGAGCCGCAGTCCTGCAGAGTTCAGCTCCATCCCTAATCAGACACACCTGAACAAGCTAATCAATGTCTTCAGGATTACTAAGGCTATAGGCAGGTGAGTTATTTTTCAGGGTTGGAGCTGAACTCTGCAGGACTGCGGCTCTCTAGGACCGAACTTGCCTACCCCTGCCCTACACAAACCCTACACCTAAACCTACCCCTCACAGGAAACTTTGTGCATTTTTAGATTTTCAAAAAAACACCATTTAGTATGTTTTTTAAGCCTTTTGAATTACGGGGACACAGGTAGTGTCCTCATAAACGACTTCATATTGTAATACCTATGTCATACCAATGCATTATATGTCCTCATGTCCTCATAGACCACCCAAACCAGTGCATGCACACACACACATACATATACAGTATATATATATATATATATATATATATATATGTATGTAATTTTTTTTTATTATTATTAATACATTTATAATTTGATATAATTCTACTGTATTGCACAGTACATGCTAGCCACCAGCCCATATATACCCGTTTATACCATGCATAATAAATAGATATCCCTGTTTGTTTTGGCATTCTTGGGAATGTTGCTTTTCTACTGCTTCTTTACACACAAGGGGTACATAATCAGTGAACGCCATAGTCCTATAGATTATAACTGCAGCAATTCGACCCAGGCAGAAGCAACGTGCCATGTTACATACAGTCTATGGTTACATATACACCACCCATGCAGTCCAAGTCCACAGCTGGTGTAGTTCAGTATAAGCTGTGTATCAACAGCATATAGTGACAGCACCTTTCACCTCTCTCGTTTCTATATCTTCTCTTTTTCTCTGTGCTGGTTCTATAGCTCAGGCGCGCCACCGTGCATGACCCTCAAACTGGCAAACTCACCACCGCCCAGTACAGAGTCTCCAAGAGGTAAGGGGTCAAAGATAAAGGGCAGAGGTCACATCTGTCTGCTTCCCCTTTCCTTCTTTACTCAGAATCCTCTTTTTTGACCTCAGTCTATGAAACAGATATTCAAATATCAGTTTGGTATTCTTCAGACAAAAAACAAATGCATACAGGTTTGGAACAACATAAGAGTAAGTAAATGAGTTACTGAGAGAGTTTAATTTTCTTAGAAACTATTAAATCACACTTCAGGGGTCAGGAGATGTCTTTACATAAATACATACATATATTAATCGAGCATGTATTTTATATATTTTTAAATATTTAATTTTTAAATATATTTTATATTTTTTAATGTTTGTATTGTTTTAATGTTATATTTGAACCTTAAATAAATTATTTTATAACATTTTAGTAAAGTTGTTGCACAAAATCATGATATTCTGTCCTTAAAAAAATACTCATTTTGCCTATGTTTTACATTATTATTATCGCATAACAAACACCTCTGTTGCTTTGTGAGGAGCTCATATTAAAAAATGAAGATGCTTTCACGTGCTGTTGTAAAATTGGAGAACACTCGCAATATTTGCATAACCTCTGAAATGATACTGTGGACTGCATGGGTGCCTCTCATTATAGAAAATTCTACATGTCAGGTTACTAGTACTAAGGTCATGCTGCCTTTGTAAACTCACAGACCGATTCACAAGTTCATGAATATACAGTATCTCATAAACCTAATTTAAAGGATGGGCAATTTTGACCTGCTTGGCGGTGGCAGAGTTTCGCACGGGGCTCAGTCTATCTAAATCTAGGTCTTTGTTACCTGAATGCTGCTGACTAACAGGACTAAAATTTCAATCACATACTAAACATTGCTTTACTTTATTGCTGAACACTAATTCTGCAGCTGGATTTGTTCTGTTTTGAAAGATTATAAAATGTTATACTGATTCAAATAGTTCTCAGTTTGAATATGAAGTTTATTTTATTATTGTCTCTTCTCTCAGTGCATGGTTGGCGGCCTACGAGCATCCGGTTGTGGATCGCATAAACCAGCGCATAGAAGACATCACAGGCCTCAATGTCAAAACAGCAGAAGAACTACAGGTAAGGTTCATGAGGCTTTTAATGCATGAGACTGAAAAAAGTTTGGTTCAATTTTTTTTTTTTACAATTTATACTTTATTCTTAGGTGGCGAATTACGGTGTTGGTGGACAATATTTACTTTATTGCTGAACACTAATTCTGCAGCTGGATTTGTTCTGTTTTGAAAGATTATAAAATGTTATACTGATTCAAATAGTTCTCAGTTTGAATATGAAGTTTATTTTATTATTGTCTCTTCTCTCAGTGCATGGTTGGCGGCCTACGAGCATCCGGTTGTGGATCGCATAAACCAGCGCATAGAAGACATCACAGGCCTCGATGTCAAAACAGCAGAAGAACTACAGGTAAGGTTCATGAGGCTTTTAATGCATGAGACTGAAAAAAGTTTGGTTCAATTTTTTTTTTTACAATTTATACTTTATTCTTAGGTGGCGAATTACGGTGTTGGTGGACAATATGAGCCCCACTTTGACTTTGGACGGGTAAATACAAAGCTTTTTAATCGTTACCCTGTTAAATCGAGTATGCAGTTTGGTCACATGCAAGTTATTCATCATGGATCATTTTAACGTTTTTCCACCAGAAAGATGAACCAGATGCCTTTAAAGCGCTGGGCACAGGGAATCGAATAGCAACCTGGCTCTTCTATGTAAGTAGGATTTGATCTGTCCTGTCAGGATTGGCTCTTCTGCTCTCTCATCACTTCGTATAAAATTTCCTGTAAAACATTGGCTTTGTTGCAGATGAGTGATGTAACAGCAGGGGGTGCCACAGTCTTTCCAGAAGTTGGAGCTGTAGTAAAGCCAATGAAGGTGCTGTTTGTTTATATGTTTGATGGAATAAGGTTTTATAAAAATGTTATATCATTCTATGAGTCATTTTATTTACAGAAACCATATATACCACAATATAATTATTTTTGCTAGAAATCTGATGCCAAAATTATTAATATTTTACAAGCCCTTGTGATGAAATACACTTTCGCATAATTTTAAAATTAGTACTTACTGTGGAAAGAATCATATTCACATGTAAACTGAATGACACAGCTGACTTTTCAATTAATAATTGTCACTTCATTCTTTGGTGTCTGTGTTCAGGGTACAGCAGTATTCTGGTATAATCTGTTTTCCAGTGGAGAGGGAGATTACAGCACGAGACACGCAGCTTGTCCAGTACTGCTGGGTAACAAGTGGGGTGAGTGTCTCAGACAAAGTGTATTAAAGGCACAATATGTAATTTTCGCCGCTGGAGAGCGCGCATTCAAAATAAACAAAGAGACAAAGGAGTAGTTTGATGACGCAGTGACTGAGTGTGGAATCATGGGAGTTGTCGTCTTCATCCCCACAGCCGATGCAATCCGATGGGACTCGGGCAGAAATCATGTTCATGGATGAGTTAATGATTTATTAACGTAGTAGAATGAAGCAGGGTGAGGCTGAAAGCCGTCGAAGCGAAACGAGCGCGACACACGGCTCGAAAGCAGCGGAGCTTTTATTATGCCACAGTCGACCGCCTCCGCTCCTTCCGGTCGTGCGTATGTGGGGGAAAAAAGCAGCGCTGTTTTATCATACTAGATACATTTGAAAGTTCTGTTATAATGCTACTCTGTGCGGTCGTCACCGGTCTATTAAAACGCACAGCATATTAAAGCGTCTTTGGTGTTTCCATGTTTTCTACAAAACAAAACGAGGGGTAGGGATGTAACGATTCACTCAACTCACGATTTGATTCGATTCACGATTTTGATTTCACGATTCGATTCACGATTTTTTTAACAAATTGAGATTTAAGACAAATTATAAATGAAATGTGTCCTTTTATTATTGCTTGGCCTTGGATAAAATGCTGCACGTTTCTTAGTGAAATTTAAATATATCACTATAATAATATACTAATATAGCACTTGCATATTATTGCTCTTTTGTTGGTTTTAATTGGTTCTATGGTCCTCATTTGTTAGTCGCTTTGGATAAAAGTGTCTGCTAAATGACAAAATTTAAATTAGTGTAAATGTAAATAACAAAACTAAATAGAATTTTAAAAGCAAGCCCCAAATCAAATAAGTAACACAAATAAAATAAATCTCTTCATATAAACAAAATAAGACTTTTTCTGTGCTCTTTCCATTTAAAATTAGAGGCAACCACTGCATTTTAATCATGATCCAAACAAAGATGCTGCATGCATGCAACATGAGCAGTTTTTAATCTAAATTAGATTGTATAATTTCGAAATTTGAAGAAAAAACAGAATGGTTTGACTTCAGTTTTGTGAAACTATGCATAAAAATATCTGCATGAAACAGAAACAGCAGACGATCTGAATGAGACGCAGATTCACTCTCTGCCAGAAGGTGGCGCTTAAAGCGGTTCCTTGGTTTCTGCTGTAAACAAAGCAGCGCTGCACTTATGAACTTTAATATGCATTATAAAGAGGCAAGATGAAAAGAAAAAAAACACCACGTAAACTTTTCTAAAGACAGTAAGTTCCCCTCAGACATAAATTCATATAAACGCCTACCCCTAATTTAATTTGTTTAGCATCTCAACTGATTTGAATTGACACAAATTTGAATCGATTTTCAACCGGCTCGCGGTTAATCGTTACATCCCTATTGAGGGGTTATGACGTCACTGGCAGGCGACACAATGACACTATGGACACGGTCCGTGTCACTAGTTAAAATTGCTTATTTCTCTGGATTTAAACATTCTTCGAAACATTTGGGATAATGTAAGTACTCAAGTCAGCAAAATATATAACACTATTCTAGTGGTTTTTGGATATTTTAATAAAAAAATCTTACATATTGTGCCTTTAATAGGAGATTTTCTTAATGCTCTGAGTGTATCATACTTATTTTAGTAATTTAGGTATTTCTATATAAAAAAATTCTTTGTACGTGTTCCTCCTAATGTGTATATACTGATTTTAACAACAATGAAATCACACCATTTTTTACTATTTATTATTGCAATAATTGGCATTTCCTAAACATTTCCTTGCATATAACCACATTTTAGATGGCATAATCCATAATTTAAATTAAAGTTTTTTGTTACTATATTGTGTTAGATTTGTCATCTAAAATAGTCAACTAAAGGGGTGACCAAAATTTTATATCCCGGTATGACAAAAATTTATATCACAATAACGATATATATCACGATTTTTTAAAGGTTTTTATGATATTAAAATCTTTGATACCATAGAATTTTCATAATCCTTGTCACCAATGTCAATATCAAACGAATACAAACCTTAAAAAGAGGCAAAAAAAACAAAACCTCAAGCTCACTGAAGATAAATAAACTGATGAAATAAGGATAAGAAACTAATTGCAAGCAATAGGACAAAAACTACAATAAATAAGAAACGCTACATACAATGTGTAAATTAATTAGTAATTTTCATAATCCTTGTCACCAATGTCAATATCAAACGAATACAAACCTTAAAAAGAGGCAAAAAAAACAAAACCTCAAGCTCACTGAAGATAAATAAACTGATGAAATAAGGATAAGAAACTAATTGCAAGCAATAGGACAAAAACTACAATAAATAAGAAACGCTACATACAATGTGTAAATTAATTAGTCTTCACTGTGTTAATTATATCTATCTATTTATCTATAGATAGATATAATTAACACGTGTATTAAGTATAGATTCTATACATATACAGTGGGTACGGAAAGTATTCAGAGCCCCTTAAATTTTTCACTCTTTGTTATATTGCAGCCATTTGCTAAAATCATTTAAGTTAATTTTTTTTCCTCATTAATGTACACACAGCACCCCATATTGACAGAAAAACACAGAATTGTTGACATTTTTGCAGATTTATTAAAAAAGAAAAACTGAAATATCACATGGTCCTAAGTATTCAGACCCTTTGCTCAGTATTTAGTAGAAGCACCCTTTTGATCTAATACAGCCATGAGTCTTTTTGGGAAAGATGCAACAAGTTTTTCACACCTGGATTTGGGAATCCTCTGCCATTCCTCCTTGCAGATCCTCTCCAGTTCTGTCAGGTTGGATGGTAAACGTTGGTGGACAGCCATTTTTAGGTCTCTCCAGAGATGCTCAATTGGGTTTAAGTCAGGGCTCTGGCTGGGCCATTCAAGAACAGTCACAGAGTTGTTGTGAAGCCACTCCTTCATTATTTTAGCTGTGTGCTTAGGGTCATTGTCTTGTTGGAAGATAAACCTTCGGCCCAGTCTGAGGTCCTGAGCACTCTGGAGAAAGTTTTCGTCCAGGATATCCCTGTACCTGGCCGCATTCATCTTTCCCT